GCTCCATCTCGCCACGTGACACCCTCTGCCAGTTACAGAGCAGCAAGGAGCCCCTACCAGATGCTGCACAGATGCTGAGTTATGCTTTTGGACTTCTCACTCTCCAAAACTGAAAGAAGAGAATCTCTGTTCTTTGTAAATGACCCAGTCTCTGGTATTTTATTATAGCCATAGAAAACGGACTACAACAACCTGAAGGGTAAGACTGGGGGGATTTATTTCAGTGTGATGGGTGGTTCCTCAACAACAGAGCCAAACAAACCAGACTTCAAACCAGCTCTTCCACTTACTAGGTATGGCATTGGTCAAGGTACTAAATATTCTGTGCCTCGATTCAAAATGTGGTTTTGAAGAACCCCTGAGCCACGGAGCTGCCCTGGGAATTCCAGGCGCATAACACCATCAGCACTGACCTTGACAGGGTTCAAATTACTGGGGGGGGAACAAAGAAGCCTCACGTTCTTTCATTTCATAGGGCATTTGGCATGAGGGTGCTGAGCAGGGTTCTTCACTGCCATTTCCATCCTTGGCCTCCAAGTCCAAGGAAGAAGGCAGAAACTGACTTCCCCGTCTCCTTAGAGTTCATGATAGTAATGAGCAGAGACCTTTGCCTCCAACTCATGTTTGACACACACATAAGCTTACGTTGTGATATGAGGGTTGTTTATTATGCAGGGTCAGCTTCACGGGCATGCGACCTGTGGAGCCCATCAGCCTACACTCCTGCTCGATGCCACTGTGCTTAGGGGTAATTTGTTACAGCAGCACAGCCTTGCTGATTCTGCCTGACAAAGACATATAAGGTAAGACGTTGTCCTTTTCACTTATTTGTCTTTATCTCCATTTCTTGATATCAGAGCCACTCACAACATTTTGGAAACCAGAGAGAGGAAAACTCCTTCTCCGTGGACCAGGGATGCTCCCACCTTGGAGGGCGCATTAGTCACATGCCAGAAGGGTGCCTGTGCTGAGGATGGGTGGGAAGTCAGAGGCTCTGCTCACCTTAATTGCTTTAGTTCCACTAATCAATTAACATTCGGCTAATAATCCTTTTCGAATGAGTCATTCTCGCCAATTAGAGGCTGATTTGTTGCTAACTGCACCAGCTCCCGGTGACGCCACCTTGTGCTTCCGTAACCGCGTGAGGTGGCTGCTCTGATGGCAGGAGGGTGGTGATGGACTCTCTCTAGACAGTGACAAAAGCAGGTGCGGGGGAGGGGCCGGGGGAGGGGCGCCCTGGGCCCGGCTGCCTGAGTGATTGAATCGGAAAAAGCCATTCCTCCCCGTTAGCAAATGCTTCTTCATCAGGCAGCAGACTATTAAGCACACCTAGATAATAAACGGATGATTTTCTCAGTCATTCTGGGAGCTCCTCATATTTTCCATTTTTAAATTTCATGTTACTCTTAAAGGATTCGTCCATTACAGTGATTTACGTCGCCGAGCTGAGACCATGATGCCCTTTAATGTCAGAGGCAGAACATGATTATTTATCATTAAATCGGGTTTTTATTTTATTTTATTTTTTTCAAAAATTCTTCCCCTTCTGGCAAATGCTTTTTTTAAAAAAAATCTTCGTCAGGACCCATATAGGTGCTGTCCCTTCTCTGAGTCCTCTGAACATGGGGGCAGTGTGCAGTTCCAAGCATCCTCAGGAGCAGAGGTGAGGGGCACCCCCGATGGCCCTCCCCTCTGTCCTGGCAGTGTCACCGAGGGTGTAGTCGACCGTGCTGTGCCACTAGAGAACATGGAGCCGAATGGCACTGAATCCAGATTCTATTTATTCCAATAATAAATCATCAAGGCCCTAATAAAATCAAGGCCCTCGCATTGCATTCCCCTCTGATGTTTCTAAGAGAGCACTTTAATCTTTCATGGCGCAAACACTTGGCAAAGGCACATGGGCACCACTGGAGACCGGGCAAGCACGGACAGGCATGAGATGGAAGAGGCCCCTGCCTGGTCCGAGCACGCTCAGCAGCACGGATGCCGGGACCCTAATTCTCTGTTGAGGGCACCTTCTTGTGCATTGTAGCACAGCTGGCAGCCTCCCTGGACTCCACCCGTTGGACACCAGTAACAACCCCTTGCCTGTTGTGACAACCTAAACTATCTCCAGAGGCTGCCAAATGCCACACACACCCCCCAAGGCCAAATCACCTCTGGTGGAGAACCACTATTTTTGCACAAGGAATGAAACATATAGACCACAGATAACCCAACACCAGGATGGACAGCAGGAGGGAGATCAAACCTGAGAAGGTTGAAAGAGGGTGAAGGAGGCTGGGAAAGTCTGTTCCCTGGGGTCTTCCTGGAGGAGGTCAATGAGAGGGTCGGAGAAAGCCAGACAGCGGGAAGATCCAGGAACGCATAATTGCAAAGACCTAGGGGAACCATACAGGGCTAGCTGCTTCCAGAGGAAAGGACGGAGTGTCCACTGCAGTGAGTGTGAGAGAGGGAGGGATGTAGATGCTAGAGAGTGGGGAGTTAAGTAGAAGGAAGACGAGGTGAAGATGAGACTTAAAGTGTATTGAGGGAAACCACGGGAGCTGCTCTTCTGTTCAGTTTTAGTTTTTTGTTTGTTTGTTTGTTTTTTGAGACAGTCTTGCTAACTTGCCCTGGCTGGCCTCCATCTTGTGATCCTCCTGGCTCAGCCTCCTCAGTTGCTGCAATTACAGGCTTGGTGCCACCACACCAGCTCACCATGGGGAGTTTTAAACACAGCAGTGACATCACAGAATGTACCCATTCATTCCACATAAATGGACAGGCAGCTCATTCTGTGCAAGACAGTGTTCCGAGGAGTGGGATTTAAGGGGTGAAGGGAGAGAAGTAGGATTTGGTAAGATATAGATGATCCCTGACCTTAAGGGGTTCCCAGACTATTGGAAGGTACTAATTTACAGGAAAAAAAAGTGTTATGAATGCTACTACAGAGATGGATAGACATGCCGAGGGCACATTTCCTAGAAGGAAAGATGAGTGGAAGGTTCTTGGAGGACATGAAAATGGAGCTTTCATCAGGAGGTGAAGGGGTGAACCTGACGCGGAGCAGTCTAGCAAACCTAGGAGCCAGAGCAATCCGGCTGATGCTCAGTAAGCGGGTGTCACCGAGTACCTCTCCACAGGCAGGTGCTCTCCAATGACCCTGCACCTGCTGTAGACTGACCCCCACACCCCCAGCCCGCCACTGCCCCAATTCCCATGTTGCAGCTGTAACTCTCAAGGGGACGGCATCTGGAGGAGGGGCCTTGGGGAGGAAATAGGTCATGAGGATGGGGTCCTTGTGCAGGGTCTAGAAGAAGACCCACTAGAAGCCCCAGCCCCTGTGAGGGCACAGGGGAAAGCACAGGCCAGGCACAGCCCTGGCCAGAAACCTGACCGCGCAGCACCTGCAGCACCGATGGTGGTTTCTCCAGCCTGCAGAGCTGTGAGGAGCAGACTTCTGCATGGAAGCCACCCAGTGTGGGAGTTCTGCTACCGCAGCCTGAGCCAAGACTACAGAGCTCCACTCCCCCCAGTGCACCTCACCCCGGGTGGGAGCAGGCTCCAGGGCAGCAGGAGCATTGTCTTTGATTTTATTCCTTTCTCCCGGGGACTCAGCCTTACCTTGCACATAGTAGGTGTGTGATAAATATTGTTTGAATGAAAAACAAAAACCAAGAGAAATGAATGCAGAAAGGAGTTTTTTTGTTTGTTTATCCCATAGGCGATGGGAAGCGCTCCTAATGAAATCCATTTAGTCAATTTTTTTGTTTACTGTGTGCTTAGAACCGCTGACTGTGGATCTATCTCATGGTGAACAAAACGGATGCAGGTCCTCCTGTAGTGTAACTGCAAGGACTAAGTCCATAGTTCCACAAACGCCACTTAAAATAGCGACTCTGACAGCAGGGCTGCAGGGGCGGGCTGCAGGCGGGGCTGCTCCGGGCTGGAGGGCGGGGCGCTCTGCAGGTTCCTTAAGTTAGCCTCAGTCCAGGACTGCTTCCTGTTCACCCAGAAAACTGCGGGACTTCCGGGTGCTGTCATTTTAAGCATAATAGCCCCTTTTCCCTGCCTAGCTCCTCTTCACAAAGCTCTTTGCTTTTTCATTTCTATGATAAAAATGCTTCAGCCCCCAAATCATAGAGGGCACAGGGGAATGTGGCTTCCCAAGACCAGAAATAGCGACCCCCCAGGGAAGAGGAGAGCCCCTGGGAAGTTTTAATTTCCTTTGTCTTGATTTGGGTAGTAAAACCTTTCTGGGAGCAGGTGACCCCAAAGACAGAAAGATATATGTATGGCCCATCCTCTCAGTAAATGGTTTCAAAATCGGAAGGTTGTTCTCAATCTGTTTCTCCCCCAGTTGGGTCAAAATGAAATAAGAGAAACAAGAAAAACACTGTTTTTCCTCAAGTAAAATACGTCCAATTAAAAACCCAATCATGTATTCCGAGATCATAACGGAGCAGTTGCTATCGATGGCAGCCTGTCTTATTTTATTTTAATGTCTTGGTAAAAGAAAAGAGTGCGACCTGGATTCCCCCAACATCATCCCATTCTATGAAATCCTAAAGGGTGGGACCTGCTGCTGGGGAGGAGCAGACCCTGGAGGAGGGACAGGAGAAGAAGCAGGAAGGGCCATCTGAGGCCCAGCTCCAGGCCAGAAACTGCTTTCCCCCAAAGTGTGTGGGTGTGCTGCGTGTGTAGCCCTGTGACTATTCTAAGCTGGCTTGGCTGCCTGTGGCCTGGGAGACCACAGATCCACACTTCTCAGACTTTAATGTGTGTTTGGATCACATGCAGATTGTTACGGCCTAGATGTGAGGTGTCCCCCAAAAGCTCATGTGTGAGACAATGCAGTCTCTAATAGGGACTAACTGGGTGGTGACTGTAAGCAGGCAGGGTGGGCCTAGAGGAGGTAGGTCTCTGGAGTCATGCCTTTGTGTGTATGTTTTGTCCAAGGTGAGGGGGTCTCCCTCTCTCTCTCTCTCTGCTTCCTGGTGCCATGTCCCCAGCTGCTTTCTTCTGCCACACTCTTCCACCATGATGGTCCGCCTAACCTCAGGCTCTAAGAAATGGAGTCGGCCATCTATAGGCTGAGCCCTCTGAAACCATGAGCCCCCAAATACACTTTTCTCCTCTAATTCTTCTTGTCAGGTCTTTGGGGCACAGCAGTGAAGAAGCTAAGACAAGCATCTTGTTAAGATGAGGATTCTGATGCATCAGGGATGGGAGTGGCCTAAGTTTCTGCATAAAACTAACAAGCCAGGTGAAGCGGTAGTCTGCAGAGCGTCTTCTAATCCTCGAAGAACCAGGAGACACCCAGGTAAAGGCCCATGAAGGGTGAGCAGCTGGTGGATAATTGAAGGGAGAGAAAAAGAGAGGGCAGAACGAGTACAGAAGGTGGTAAGGGTCAGACATGTTGAACCTGACGTGCTTCCTGGACAGCAAGTGGCCCCCAGGCAATGAGGACTGGAGCCTATTGGACATCCCGGGGCAGCAGTGATTGTTCTGGACTAGATCTCACCAGCTATGAACCTTTGTTCCTCAACCTCTCTGTGCTTCTGTCCCCTCATCTGCGAGGTGGTGGGAACTGTACCCACCTGGGACTTTGTTATATGAGGCACGTGGGCCACTGCCGGGCACAGCACACACACAGTGCCCCTGTTGGGAGAGCAGATTGGAACTGACCCCATGTGGTGACCCAAGGAGGTTGAACTGTCTGCCTCTTGGCCAAAAGGTACAGCTTCATGAGGCAACTGCGGGATTTTTTGGGTTTCCCAGTACAAAGAAAACAACTCCTAAAACTGACCACAGGGAGACTAAGATCAATTTTAATTTTCTTCCCTGTATAAATGCAATCTGTGCTCATTTAGCCATCTGCTCACTCAACCAGGAGCAGAAATTTCTTCTTCTTCTCCTTCTCCTCCTTCTTTTGGTACCAGGGATTGAACCCAGAGATTTTGAGACAGGGTTGTTTAGGGTCTCGCTGAGGCTGCCCTCAAACTTTCCATCTTCCTGCCTCTGCCTCCTGAGTTGCTGGGATCACAGGTATGAGCCACCATGCCCGGCCATTTCTTGAGCTCTTACTGACTGTGTTACTGGGCTAAGTCTCTATGTATTTATGAGTGCTGTTTGATTTTCAAAGAAGTCATTTTCAGAAATGCATTTTGTCAATACATCTTCCCTGGATCACCATTGTATTTTTCTGCCGGTTCTGGATTATGAGGATTAGGTAACATAAATGAAGATCATGGCTTTCTTCTTTTTTATTGATAACACAATCCTGTTGTATTAGATAAATGAGTGCTGTTGGTCCCGTGTTAGTTAAAACATTGGATTTATTCATCTGGCCAGTGTTTCATTGGTAGTAAAGGTGTTCAATAATTTGTCATTAATATTCAAAGTGAGATTCCCAGTGAAAGCTGTGCTATTTGAAGTTGGAACCAAGACAGAATGCCCAGGGTAGGACCCACAGCCTCTACCATGTGGCAATCTTGCACAGTGCAAGCACGTGTGCTCATTCATGACACACCCACTCTGTTCAGTAACTTAAAACACAGAAAACAGAGGTCAACTCTTTTTTATTTTTTTAAATTTTTTTAGTTGCCAATGACCTTTATTTTATGTATTTATATCTGGTGCTGAGAATTGAACCCAGTGCCTCAAACATGCTAGGCAAGTGCTCTATCACTGAGCCACCACCCCAGCCCCGAGATTAACTCTTCTAAGGTTTTTTCAGAGCAAAAAAAAAAAAAAAAAATCAGGTCATGCTTGACCAATGTGTTTCCTTGAGATATAAAAAGAGACATTAATAAAGGAAGCTGAGCAAAGTGATCAAATGTGATACACACTTTTTGGTTTTAATAATGTCACTTGTAACTATTTCTATTTAAATGGCCAGATTTGATTAAGTTATAACTGATTTTTTTTGAGTGTGTGTGTGTGTGTGTGTGTGTGTGTGTGTGACTAAGTGACTATTATAGGCACAAGGTAATAAAAATAAATAAATCTAACTCCACAAAATAAAAATATTCTATTGGGGGATAAAAATCTAGCTTAGGCTTTCAGAAAGTTGGTTGGAAAATAATTGGGAAGATATCATTAGTGGCAATTTGGGGGAAATCTTCAACTCCTCAGGTCTGACACTCCTAAAACATGTTCTAGGTCTCCAATTTACGGGCGATAAAGTTGTTTCATTCTCCATACATAACTGTATTGGTGGCTAATTTGCTTTGTTTTTTTAATAATCACTGCCGCAGTAAAGCTGTCATTTTTCCTCCTGTGACATGTGTCTTGGTTTGTCGTAACTCAGCACATCAGCGTTTCATTTTGTTTTGTTTTGTTTCCGACCCAGTTGGCCAGGCAAAAGATTCCGCTGCCTCCCTCCTGGAGGTCGGAGGCCGGGCACATGGCAAACTGAGCTGGAGACACTTGCCGGCGGCTTGTTCTAACCGCTGGACTGCAGGGTCCCATTGTCCCTTCTGAGTGGGTGGGCAGGGTGGTTTTTATTTTGGAGTTTTTTTTTTATATGCTTCCTTTAGAAGTGTGTTTAGCTATGGAGGACTGTGGGGGTGGCTCTTGATGATCCAGCCAACGTGGGGAAATGTTCAAAGCCGAGTTCGAATGTTCATCGTGCCGTGAATGCAGTAGGGAGGTCCTCGCACTCCTACCGGTATGGACACAGACACTCCCCTGGGTTCTGATTAGGATTTCTGATTCCCAGGCTCCCCCCAGAGATGGCAGCATCTGCATACGGTGGTGCCAGGGGCTGAGTGACTGGCCCTGTGGGTGACAGGGCTGGCCATCGGCTTGTACCAAGGAGGATGAGGGGAGAACAGGAGGAGGGGACACAGTGCGGACCCCTGGAGCGCCTTCTGTGCCCTTGAAAGACCAAGAATCAACAGGGTTGGTGACAGTGGTGACAAGTTGATGCATATCATCCTGAAGGTGGAGATGCCAGCAGCCACGTCAGAAAAAGATCAAGTAAAAGAATCACAGAATTCTCTATTCAGGACTTTTGGGGGAATTTCATACAAAGGATTTCTAGTCCCTTCACTATGTGGATGGAGATAATCAGGTGTCTTGGGAGACTTGTCCAAGGGCCACATATTTGCCATGAAACATGGGAGAAATGTGCCTTTGACAGGTTATCCTAGAGGGGGGAAATCTCTCCTCCATAGCTCCTAAACTTTGGAGTTAAAAATGATATCACTGAAAGTTTATGCAACCATTTCTTTATTCTTAAAACTATACTTAAAAAAAGAAAAATACTTGCCGAACTTGGTCCTGCTCTATAGAATACTCCTCTTCAGGTCCTTTTCATGATTATATCAGCCCCTCCTTTGAGTTAAAACGGTGCCACTAAGCTCTGTTTTAGAAAGTCCTTTTTGAAAAATGCTTTAAATATCAAGTGTCAATTCTCTTTTTAAAAAAATGACTAGGTCATTAGAACCCTGTCCTCACTTGCCTCTTTGCTGAGATTATCAGAGCCCCAAAGATCCCCCCGTGACCATCAGGAAACAATGCTGTCCTGAACTCTGAAGTCATTACAAGCCTATCAAATGCCTCCTCCCACAGCTTCATTCAACGGGGAGGGGGGGATTTTCTATTTGCCCAGGACAAGTGAGCAATTCATTATTTCAATAACTGCCCTGCCCATGTCGTTCCTGAAGAATATGCCATGAATTAACCACAGGCTTAAGTTCAAATTGACACCCAATCCCCAATTACCCAATTAACTTCATTTCTGAAAAGCCTGTGCTCCTCTCTCATCCGGGATACTTCCTCTCTCTTTGCATTTTTCCTTCACAAAGAATAAACATGTTGTTCACTTCACTAAGAACACCAGGCTCAAAACTCCAAACTGAACTTACATTCACAGTTCTGCACGGAGCTAGTTAGGCACTGGTTGAAGTTCACAAGAACTGACTTCCACACAGAGCAGAGAAGCCCTGTCCCTCGTGGGATACACAAAATGCTCTCTTCTTTACAAACGGAGGCTTGATGAGGTAGACACCGGACCCATCATCCGTAGTGATATAAATTAGTTTCGTGAATAGAAATAAGATCTCGACACAGCCAGTGGCTTTGCTGTGTTATATCACTTTATCAGTTTTATTTTATTTTATTTTTCTCTCCACAACTAATTGTGATTTTTAATTGTTGATCACTGTTGCGCTCTCCTCCTCACTATGCAGATATTCAACGGCAGATCTGGATACGCTGTTCGTGTGTTTAAAAATACACACAGGTACACGCAGGAAGAGGTACGCACATCCCACACCGACACACGTTTCATGATCTTGGATGACTCCCCTCTGTCTGTGACTCCTCTCTGTCTTCCAGTACATTCCCCAGGATGCTGAGCGTTCTATTCAAATGTCACCAAGAAGTTATTTACGTTTTGTGAATGCCACAAGGGCGCCGACTCTCAGGGATTTTTTTTCTTTTTTTTTTCATTAAAAGTATTTCTAGTACCTTTCCCTAGCAGGAGCGCAAGTACTTGTTGAATGAATGAATGGACAACACTGAAACTCTGCATGCACAGAAACATTTATCTGGGTACTCATATCTTTGTTTTTCCCCCTTCATGTTCTCTTAACTCCCACACAATTAACTCAGAAAATTCCTTTCCTTTTGATCCATGCTGAAGCCCAAACAAAATAAAACACCATATTCTGCCACCCAGTGTGACTGTGTAGCATTAAAATGATGCTATTTATAGATCTGACCGACCCAAGAAAAGGGTAAGAAAGAATGAAGAATTTTATATAGAGCTCTAATTTGAAGCGTCATGAAATGGCAGTTCCCAGCCTGAATTCAAGTGCCCAGTGAGTTTGATTTAACTGGTACTGCTTTAAAAAATTCACACTGAAAGTTAGACATGTGGATCCCTTGAACCACGGATGATCTGACAGCCATGCACTGATACATAGTGACTAGAAGCTGAGGCTCACCTATGCATGTGCACAGTCCCTGTCACTCTAGCGTCTGGTGCTCAGTCCATCTTGGTCACTTCCTTCTCTGCCTGGCATCGACTGGAATATGAACGTATATGTTCCTATTGAAAATTCTTCAAAAAGTTCATGGGGATGGCTTTCTGAAGGACTATGAAAATTCATCTCTTTTTGGCCAAAAATACTGAAGGTTGGGGGGAAATTGTTTATTTTTCTGATAAATGTCTACTGACTACTCTTGCAATAGTGATAAGAATTATTATTATTTTTTCCATACGGTTGCTAACATTTTTGCAGCGATATATGTTAGGTAAGATTCTGTGAGTGTGTCTGGGAATGGATCAACTGACGCACATTTTACAATGTT